AGCCTGAAAAATAGGCGAGCTCACTAAACGCACGCTGCTTATTGCTCCGGCTACATACGCTGGTGGAGAATTAAGAAAGCAGGTTGAAATCTTGTGACTTTACTGATAGCGTGCCAAACGTTTTTGGCCGCTTTGTGAACGCAGGAGCCCCTCGTTATTCTTTCCGAGTCCCGCGTGTGTGCGGACGCAGCACTCGGCTGCTATAAATTCAGGCTATGTTCTTAGCCTACACCATGCGCTGCTTTTGTAATGCAAATGGCAGGCACAAAGTGTCCCTTTGATAATGTGCAGTGATGAGACAAAAACGCATTCACGGAAACAGTAAAACTAATTCATAAAGCCCGAAGGACAATAAGAAAGCGTTATAGATATTTAAAAAAAAAAAAAATGCATCCTAGATCAACTCGGTCGTGACCAATGTAAACAGTTGCGATGCAAAAACCTGGGGAGGCTGGGGAACGGAGGGAGGAGAAGTAACGCGTGGCACTGCCAAGGTAGCTCACCCTGCCAAAGTTGTGATGCTGCAAGGATTCACGGTCAAACTGCTCTGCAGTTTCTCGCTGAAGAGCTGAAAGTGGCTTAATTTTGGTTACTAAATGAGAAATTCAGCTTGGGTTGCTGTTCAGAAAGAAAAAAAAAAAAAACCTAGGGTTTTTTTGTTTGTTTATTAATTAAAGGCATTTTGCAGTTATAAAATGGTTAATAGACAGATGCTCCTGAGGGCATTAAATTTTGGGGCATAAATTTTGAGGGAGGTTGGCCATTCTCTCGGCGGCCAGCTCCGCACAGGATGATTTTCACATTTTGTGCAAGCATTACCGTGCGCTGTTGCGGTGGGCAGGGCAGGGAGCAAGGGGATGTTATTGATACTCGGTTACCAGCACAGATTTAAAGTACATCGCTGTCCTGGCATGCAGCGTTTGCAGGCTGCGGTGGAAAATTTGATGAAAGGAGTACATTTGGACAAGGGGTATCATTAAGATACCAACTTGGACACTTTCCATCTGTATTTACTGTAGGCTTTACCCCCAGCTGTAATCAAAGGAAGTAAAAAAAGTCTTATTGATTGTTTTGCTAAAAAGGATCTCCGCTGCATCAAAAAAAGAAAAAGCCTTTTATTAAGAATGCTGCTCTCTAAATACCATTCATAAAACAGTGAGGAGCGAATATGGCAAAAAGTTAACATTTTTCTCTCTGTCGCTTTGATTTCTTTGTTACTGCTGAAATGACTGCTCTGACTCGTATTTTGCATAGTTATTTTTACCTTTTCAAATGTTCCTTAACTGTTCATATTACCCTGGGCAAATCCCCCAGGGATAATTTTCATTTGCATGCAGACTTTGATGGTGTTATTAAGCAATCACTTCTGTACTAAGTCATTATTAAAAGTAGTACCACAGAGCCTCAAAAACACGTTAATGGTGCCAAACAATCCACGTTTCAGCACTCAATTTATGGGAAGGGAGAAGCACTAGGTCTGTTAGGTGGATGCCGCTCCATCATGCTGTAGCAGCTTTCCTGAATCGAGAGGCGCAGTCGTTATTGGGAAATACTGGAGCCAGATTCGTCCTCCTTATTTGTTGCCAGCTGGGTTCCTTTGACCGGCCGTTTTGCCTACCGGCTTCCTACCTTTTGCCCTTCTCCCCGCAGGCTTGTCAAGAAAGCCGGTGTGCAATCTCGCGGGATGCCCTAGCGGCAGCGATGCTGGGAAGGAGGGTCAGCCTTCCCAGGCGTAATCGCGGGTTTATGGCTTTCCTCGTTCTCAAGGTGTTAATGCGGATCAAATGGGAAACACTCGGGCAGGCCCGTTACAGCTACTAGCGCTGCCCCGTGCGTGGTCCCAGTCGTTAATGCTGGTTGCGAGACCCAGCGGGGTAATTTTGTTTGCTCTCCTAAGGCGTTGCAGCTCTCCCGGGTGGTGGGGCGAAATCTTCTCTCAGATTCCCATCTTGATCAATTGTTTGCAAATAATTAAGCTTTGAGGAGATAATGGTGGGAGCTAATGTACACAGCAAAGGGAAGGTCTCGAGTCACTGTTTGTTGAGCCGTGGTACCGTTTGCTTTGATATGCCAAAGCGACCTGAAGGGATGGCTGTGCTTGCCAACTGGAATCCGCCCGTCAGGTCTAGGCCCAATTGCAAATACACGCACGCAGATACATACATACATGCATGCATGCATACGTATATATATATGTATGCACACACACACACACATACACATATATATATATGAATGATGTACGTGTACATCTCTGCATGTTTGTGCGTGTCGTCGTCTTTATCCCTGCCGAGCAAAACGCTCCAAAGCGTTTGGAAGGTGCCTGTTGGTCACCCGAGTGAAACAAAGAGGAACAGAAACAGGGTAGGAGGAATTTCCCGTTTCTCCATAAAACGGCAGTTCTCGGGGTTTGGCCCCTTCCGCTGCGTCGCGCCGCGCCGTCCGCCTTTGCCGGCAGCGCCGGCCTTACTAGCCCTGTGGGTGGGAAGGCGACAAGGCTTTGAACGTTGTTATAGCAGCCTCGCCTGTGGCACGCTCATCCTTTGTCAAGTCGGGTTGTTGTTGGGTTGTTTTTGTTTTTATTTTTTTCAGCCTGCAAAGGCACAACTCGTGCAGTCCGCAGAAAGCTTATGTGATAAGGATGCCCAGCGTTTTAAGATATTTTGAACACACCGAGTTGTGGTTAAAAAGCTTGCCGCATTGTGAACCTTTAGCTAAGAGGGATTAACTGCATGGAGTTATGGCTGTCATGTGATTCTAGCAGTTATAGATTTTCATGAAATTAAAAGTTTATGCTGTACGAGGCTGTGGAAGAAAAAAAAAAAAATCAGATGACCTTAAGCATACCACAGTTTAAGGAATTTGGGGTTTGGGACTTTTAAAGCAATTATTTTTACAGTGACTGTATTATTCTGATGGCTAATTTTATCCGGTCTTGTCTATTTGGAAAAAAGTCCAGAACAATTGAAAATTGCTTAATGGAGACAGAGTTCTCAATCCCAATAGCTAGAGGCTGTCTAGTAATTATTGCTTGCTGCATGAAATTAGACACAGTTTGTTCAATTACTTAAAATTAAATCACATGTAAGGTGGCAAAGTGAAATCAGAAAAAAGAGTAATTTTGTCCTTGCTTGATAGTAAAGTAATGACATGGGAAGTAAGCTATAAAGATGAAGATGTTGCAGATCTCCTCTGTAGGCTTTTGGAGAGAAGCTAAACGTTACGTTCAGCTAGGCGGACATAAGTCAAGTACGACTATTTTGTTGTGGAAGAACATGTATATAATGTGGACTGTAAAATCCACACTATATTTTTGCATGTATAAAATGCAAATTATCTGTAAAAATAGATATAGTTCCCTTCCCTGTTTCCCCCACGTTACAATTCTGGAGCTCTGGGGGTTTCACGTACACGCAGGAAACGCAGAGGGCGGTTTAGCGATATGCAGGTTATCTATGGGCTCACTGTCAAGAAATAGCATTTTTAAAAGAACGGAAGGTTATCTGAGATGCCGGCTATGTGTGTGAAAATCCAGTATGTATATGTATATATTCACTTATGGCACTCCATCACTGCCATTTCTGGTCGTACAGCGGTGTCTTTTGAAGCTGCTGACCACTGCAGTGTCCTTTGCAGGACACAGCAGGCCGGAGGAAGTTAAGGGAGTTAGAGCAAAAATCCCTGTTTGGTGCAGTGAGCTTATTCAGTCACGTACCGTACCCATTAGACTTCAGATTAGGCTGTTTACAAGAATATATAAAATCTGCTAAATAGTTATGATAGCAATAAGATTGCTGAATTTTACGAGGTTTTAAATTCTTATACTTTACAAGGTTTCGAGTTACATCTCTGGTACTATTATGCTGGAGAATACATCCGAGGAATATTACAACGTTTCTGAAAAATGGGTCTGTGTATAACAACAAATGCTCAAATGCTATAATTGTGCTGCAATGCACACATGCTTTGTGGCAAGCAACTGTTGAATGTGCTGTTTGGCTAGGTCTGAGCAATTTTATCAAATAATCTTAACCAAAATGTTAAAATAACGAAGTATCTTACAAGAGGCCAAATCTGAACTCAGGACGTACTGACACTTAAATGTCCAACTTCAGGAGTTTTCTGACTTGGGACACAGTGCTGCATGCAACCGGCTGCTCAAAACGGGGTTTCTCCAGAGAACTGTTAGATTTGCAACGTTGGGTCATTTTCTTCTGAGACAGTAACGTTTTTACAGCAAGAGAAAGGATAGAAATGCTGTGGCTAATGTCATTTCTAAATTCGAACTTGGATGTGGTTTTCGCTGCTGATTTATGAAGCAATTTGTATTCATGCAGAAGTGAATCTTCTGAGAAAGCAATCAAGTTCTCACAAGAAACTTGTGATTTAATTTTAACATTATCTTCAATTAAACCAGCATTTATTTTCTGTCCTTTAGGATTAGTGCAGCACAGCTATGTTAACGTCAGGCAAAAATGTGCTAATCATTGACCTTATGTTGGCCGGTGTTCAAAATACAGGCATTTGTTTATGTTCAGGATGCTGATGTTATTTGCAAATTGTTTTGGGGCACTGGCAAGATTTGTCTTCGCTATCTCAGAAGGCGTCGGTGTCGTGTTATAGAGGGGTGCTGTATGACGTTCCTTATTGTTTGGTGAAATATGGAAAAAGGAAATCGTGATTTGACTCTAGTCGTTCATTCGAGACAAGCGCAAAAACTTTCAGCTAATGCAACAAATATCCTTCCTGAGTATCAAGGTACTGCCAGTATCCGAAGCAGTTATTTCTCCACTTCACTAATCTTTATAATTGGCTTGTCTTTTACTGCCATTAATTAAATGATGTAGTAGGCCATTAATAATTATAAAAGAGTGACACACCTCAGCATTTTCACCTTTCAATAATAGATGTCACGCTTCTGTTTTTACTTTTTTTTGGAATAAAAAGCGGACAAAAGAAGCATTGTTTTAAACGTGTGTATTTATTTTGGTGTCTTATAGCACCCTTACCCTTCAGAAGAACAGAAAAAGCAGTTGGCACAAGACACAGGGCTCACTATACTTCAAGTGAACAACTGGTAAGTAATTTTCCTTAGCGTTTCTCTTTGGCCGCCG